TAGCGCGGGTGCGGGGGCGTTTCCTCCCTGCTGGCCCGCCGCGCGCATGTATCCACAGTCTGCTGTACAAGTCGCCCGTGGCTCCCAGCCGCAACGCAGCGAGCAAGGGCACCTGCTAACAGCGGACGGGCAAGATAAGCTATATGTAATGTAAATGCGCATTTCAAACGAAGATAACAGTCAGCGGCCAATCAAGGCTGACTTTACGCGTTTTTATTTAAATCCTTCATGGACATATTCGATGACTATTATTAATCGGAGAATAAATTCGTTTTCCAACACACTTTAACCCTATAGCCATTGCGACCTCAAAGGGAAAGTGTTCTAGTTAATAGATAGTAAGTTAGGATTTAAAAAGTGTCCACTCATCAGCTATTAACAATGTCACAGCACCCCCTTCAGGTGACTCCAGAAAACTGTCATTCCTGGAAGCGCTAGTTTCAGTCGCGCCAAGATTCGCCTCGTCTGTGGCTGGATAGTATTTAATAACTGTATGAGAATATTCCTAATAGTAAAAAAAAAAAACTTCTCACGGGAACGTTTACTTTAGAGAGCTAATGGATGAGTACACAGCAATGGGGGAGTAAGAATGTATATCAGCTATTTTTTTTTTTTTTAATGAAAAACAAAGCTAGAGTAGTATGTTATATTTAGTATTCACTGATTCTGTTGAGAACCATTGATCTTACTAAATTTAGCTCACCAAGGGAGCCAGAAACCAATCCCAGTTGTCCAGAGGGGATGCCAGTCCATTGCAGAGCACACACACAATGGGTATTTTAGAAAGGCCAATTAGTCTAAATGAATGCTTTTTTGCTGTGGAACAAAACCAGCACAACAGAGGGAGAACGTGCAAACTCTACACAAAAACAGCAAAGGCTGGAGTCAGACGCCATACCCTGGGGGTGTGAGGTCATGGAGTCGCCACATCACCCGTGTCGCGGTAGCGCTGATCTCACGCGCCAGAAACCTCCCGCTCGGCACAATTCCGCTAATGTCTGCAGAAGATTCTCATGTTGCCATGGGGAGAGACTTTCTGTTTACCCAACAAAGGCTCCCATGCTACCTTCAATTCCATCCCCGTCCTTTCTACAGATCAGCTGAAGCTTCATCCGGAAGTTTCTGTAGATTGTCTGCTGTAAGGCTGGTGTGTGTTAATTCCACAGGATCTTTGGGAAATGGAAGCAGACAGAGGTGCTGTGAGGGGGGGCTTCATGAGGCAGTCGGCAGCCACCCCCCTCTCCTTTTAAACACTACTTCTCTTCCAGAGAAAGATACAAACATGGACACTCATCCCAGAGGTACATTGCATATTAAAATTTATGTTTTAGACACAACAACATCTGGCTGAGTGGGGAGCATTGTTGCCTCACATCTCCAGTGTTGGGCTTATAAATCCCACCTCTGCTCTGTGAAAGTATGGAGTTTGCATGCTCTCCTGTGGGCTCCATCCCTCAGCCCAAAGGCATGGTGTCTCCAAGTTGGCCACATAGCATTGGCTGTGTACCCTGTACTGGGCTGGCCAACCTGTCCAAGATAAGCAGCAGGAAGAAGAAAGGCTGGAGATATCAGAAACCAAATCTTTCATTATAGTCATGTTGCATTGATATATTGTTGCTGTCAGTCTTGTCCACATGACATGGGATAGACTGTTTCTGCAGGATGATGGCTGAAAATAATACAATAGAATAACTTGATGATTCATGCCCTTGGAAAGAACATCCCCTCCAGCTGTTCCCATGACAACATTACACACTGGACCATCTTACAGTGAGATCTGCAGAAGCTCTCACATATGATGTGTTTGGTCCAATCTGTTCTTTCTGTGTTTTTAATAATCCAGCTGAGATGAGTCATCTGGCCCCCCTCTTAGCCCTTGGGGACCTGTCATCGCATTTTAAAGATGACAAAAATGTCAACACCATGCAGAGCATCCCTTAACGTGCCCTTTAAAGTAGGATGATGCAAGAAATTCCAAGTACAGGTGGGGAAAAAAATGCAAGAAAATCCTGGGCTTTCTGGTGGGTGTGTGAGAGGCCACAGCTCTCCATGCGGCTCGGCTGAGACAGCAGTTCACTCGGTGCGTATGACCAGCCTGCCAGTGCTCCTCTGGCTCTCCCCGGGATTTGCCAAGGGAATAGCGAAGGTCTGTAAAATCAACAATTAAGTGGATGCACAGGGGCCGAGTCGTCAAGGCAACGCATTGCAGCTGGGGCTGGGATAACAGTAATGGGTACCTCACCGTGGGATGGGACCGATCCAAGGAAGCAGGGCCCACGGCAGAAAGCCAAGTTTAGATATAGCTGAGCATACTACCCAGAATTCCTCAAACAAGACTAAATCAATAATACAGAAGGGGTAAGATGCACTCCACATCTTACTGGATCAAATCTATTCATTACCCATGATGCAATCAAACATGAGGTATGGTAAGCATTCTAATAATATGGTGCTTTGGGTTGGAAGTTACACTGCTAGCAGGTCCCCAGCCTGCCATGCTCCACATGGACTCCTGTGTGACACTTTGCTGATTTACTTCCCCCCAGTGTAGGTGAGTGGGTGCATCTATGTCTTTCTGGAGAACCCGGAGAGATGACAGGCCACACATAGCCCTGGGCAGAGGCTCCAGAGCTCATGAATTCGCGATAAAATCCAGTCAGACTCAGGGACACTCAAACCTTCAAAACAAGCAAGAAGGGGACTATTTTTTTTTCTTTCACGAAACATTCACACACCATAATAAATAACCCAATAAAACCGTGAAAGGTTTACGGAAGCAAAAATGTAATTTCAGTAGTATTTGGCATCATAAAAATTACCACAGGAAGTTTCTCCACGTTCCAAAGGGATGCTTTAGTTTGGTACCTTTAAAACAGAACCATGTGTGCTCAGCCTACATGTGTTATAACCTGACAGTCTCAGCCTAATTAACAACAGAGCCAAAACAGCAAGCCACACAGAACCCATCCAGCAGAGCCAAACATGACAAGGGGACCTGTGACTATCCCCAGAGAGATTGACACATGGAGCATCCCAGCAGGACTCTCTGCAGGAGTACAGGTGGGAGCTGCAGCCTGAACACACGATTACACAACCGGCTCGCCCTTACTGGTTCATTTGGTAGACGGGAATGTGTCTGTGCCGGCCAGCTGTCAGCGAAGCAATGCCTTATGGGTAAGATGCCCAGACTGCACAGAATGTACTCTAGCCAGCACAGTTAATATCGATTTTGATGCTAATAAATTACAATTTTGTAATTACCATTCAAAATATATTATGAAAATGACAAATCTATGGCAAAAAGATAAAGACCAATTTAATTACTGAAGTAGAAGGTGGGCCAGCTACAGCTATAGGCAGAATATGCAGTTGTCTAGGGCCCAAAAAAAGCTTGTGGGACTTTTACTTACACAAAAATGTTCTGAGGGGAATGAAAAATGATTAATTGACAGAGAGATAACCAATTAGATTGCACAGGAGGTGGGCCCAAGCAACTAGAGCAGGCAGGACCAAGACATATGACTTGTTGGTCCCACCTCCTTCAGTTGCTTGGACCTAACTTCCTGTGCACCAATCATTTTTTGTTCTGTCCTCAGAACTTTTTTTTTCCCAGTAAAACTCCCTTCAGTCCACAGAACCCCAAAGAACAAGAAATGGCAACACTGTGATTTCAGAAAAATGATGCCTAAAACTGTACATGTATAATAAAGAACATTTATCATTCAGATGTTGCTGCAGAAGTGTCCAAACTGCTAAACACTGGTTGAGCCAGGAAACTGTTTGAAAAGGAAAAATAGCCTGCAGATCTATAGCTGTATTTCAGGACATGTGAGGTATGTATGGGGTTTTATTTCTGCTCATGCGTCTTGTTCACTGTGTAGTACCTTTAACACTGGATAAACTTGCACTTTTACTTTTATTGTTGGACTGGTGGTTCTACAAAGTTCTGGATGTCTCTTCTGGGGGGGGAGGTCTTCTGTGGGGGAGGTCTTCTGCTGGCAGCACACCTCGTATGCACTGATGCACAGGTTCACATGCTGTGTTTTACAGTTTTTAAAAAGTAGAAACCATGAACACTGGTACCTGTAACATGATACAGAAGCAGGGTGTATAGAATGTACATTTATGGCAGAACCTCTCTACCAGCCCTGCAGGACATCTATGCTGAAAGGTGCAGTTCCTGGGCGACCAGGATCACTAGGGACTCCAGCCATCCCGCCCACAAACTGTTCAGGCCACTGAGGACAGGGAAATGCCTCTGCAGCCTGAAGTCAAGAACTGAACTGATTAAGAGTTTTTACCCACAAGCAGTGAGACTCCTGAACCACAGCACATAACAGACGGACACACACACACACACAGGGTATACATATCCTTATGGGGACCGCTCATTCATTTCAATGGGAAAAATGCTAACGCTACAGTAACTATGACAACCTTAACCCCTACCCAGCCCTAACCATAACCATAAGTAACCGAACAAAATACAAGAGTTTTTGCATTTTTAGTTTTTTCATAGTCACCGACTTTTATACAATATAGTTTTCCCTTATGGGAACCAGGAAACCGGTCCCCATAAGGGAAAAAAACGGATATTTATCACGTTATGGGGACATTATGTCCCCATAAGGATAGGTAAACCCGCTCGCACACACACACACGCACATGCACACACACAGTCTCCTATCCATTTCCATAACTTAAAAAATATTTGCATATATGCACTTTATGGCACACCTACAGTGAGATTTATATCTTCACAGTGCAATCTGTATACTGTGCAATTTATACTTTATATTTATACTTTCATAGTGCAACGCTATGTTATATATACTATATGCACTTTATCGTCCTGTGATGTTGGTACTTATTCCTTCCGTATGTATAGCACAGCCAGGGTACTTTTTGCCAGAAAAAGCATTTCACTGTATGTTGTAGCAGCTATAACTACATGTGACAAATAATGAATCTACATCAACAGATCTAAAAGAGAACCCAAAGCAAAGGGATAAGTACTGCTTTAATAAAAATAAAATATAAATGGAGTGATTCGGCAAACAGTTCTGCTCGCATACAATGACCTTTTCTTACATCTAAATGAGCAGTATTACAGGATCTGTACATAATGACGAGAGAGCCCATGGTGGTGAATCGGATGGCATAAGTATCACAGCATAACAATGGCTGCTCGCTCATCAGTACCAGCTGCTTCCCCCCCCCCCCAAGTTCAGAGCCCAGCCAAAGCTCAGGACGACCACAAGAGCATCATCCTAGTGTTACCATGGGAACCTTGCAGGATCGCCCATCTAAAGCATGAGTAGGACATGGTGAGTCTCAACATGACATAGATACAGGAGAATTTGTTTTTTTTTTTGTGGGTAGCATTTCCCTGTGTGTGTGTGTGTGTATGTGTGTGTGTGTATGTGTGTGTGTGTGTGTGTGTGTGTATGTGTGTGTGTGTGTGTGTGTGTATCCGCACACATGTGCACAGTTAGGCATCAATAAATTGTTCAAAGTATATGAGTGTGTCTGTGTGTCGAGTGGACTGGCATCCTGACCAGGGTGAACCCCAACATTGTGTTCTATAATGCCTGGGATGGATAGATGATTGGATACTGAATTTCAGGGTTGAAAGAGGGAAAATGAGGCAAGATATACAACCTTCGGTCAACGTTAGTTAAGTTCACATGTACCCTGCAGAATGCTTTGCAGATTTACAACAAAAAAAAAAAAAGGTGTGGTCAACGTTACAACTACATATTTCTCTCCAGGCTACAGGTGTGAAGAGACATCAACATGTGCATACAGCTGCAGAACATGCTCAAAAACGGTGCATTAAAAATAAAAAAACCAGCAAATATTCCAAAACATACTTAACATGTCAGGAGAATCATTGGGCACTTATTCAGTCCTAATTTGACCTTAATAAAAACACTACATTAAGTTAATTGCCGCATACTTATTTGCTACACCCATGTCGACTGGTTGAAAAAAAATGTTCTAACTGCTACAGCTCAGCTGATTGGATGAAAATAAAATCTGGCTGCCATGTATCAGGTGCTGTGTGTGCAGGTGCCCCTCCCACCTTCAGGACGGATGCAGATATGCATGTGCATCACAGCTTGTGACGGGCAGCTGCATGGCCAGTTTACCCTGAGCGAGCCGAGGAGAACCACTCACCTCTCCCTGAATTTGTTGACCCTGTGTTTCACGGTACGAAAGAAGCCAACATCACATTTCTTGTCAAACTGTGAAACCAATACAACTGTCTACGATGTTAAATTACCAAATAAGTATACTTCAGTGTGTCTATTTATAAAACCCTATAATCATAGCAAGTAAACTTGAGAGGTGTACTACAAAGCGGGTTTAGCAGATTTAAGTGCGACTTTCAGTTTAAAAGAGGCGTAAGTCTCGCCCTTTCGGCAAAAACAGACGCAAACCGCCTTTTCTACAAAAAAATAAAACATAGCCTAACAAGAGCTGCCCTTTCATGAAATAATAGGGATGGCCGATACTACTGAATGCCTTTTCAGTCAGACACCAAGTTATACCAGGTTGGGCTGCTAACGAAAAAATATTGCCGAGCAGGGGAAGGGGGGGGGGTATTCACTACCTATGAAACGGTGGCTCTTAGTTAGCATGCTTAGTCTGCAATGCCGACATCACCCCTTTTGTGTGAATGCGCACACTCCGATTAAGAAACTCAGAGTCAACTGACCAATAAGTACCATCATAGTACCATTTAAAGCAGACTATAACAGTCAGGATTAGTAAACCTGGATTTGTTGAGTTAACTCCGGGCATGTAAAACTTGCTTTGTAGTACACCCTAAAGCAACAGAAAAATTGAATATTGAGCAGAATGAGTATGTATATGGTATAAACTGGGTCTTTAAGGACGACCAGACTTTGTACCTAGACTACTAGAAAAAGTGCTTTCAAAGGTGAAAATGAATTTATTTCAAGTTTTAAGAACTTACGATTTATAAAGTTTGACACCAGAATGAAAGCATGTACTTGGAGAAATCACCTTAATGCAAAAAATGCACTTATCCTCTGTACAGTGAACAACAACTAAACATGGCAAAAACTACTTCGAAGTGAGAGAAGAAAAATAAGAGGGAAAAAAAAAAAAAAACAGTAAATCCGTTCCTCTTTACATAGTGCAGATAAGGTTTACTCTCCAACTCGTCCTTGGGCTCCAGTGTAGATGGAGTCACGCTCAGGAGTCCCAGTGTCACTGCAGGCTTGTATTTACCACTAGAGCACAGTGAGAACCACACTTTTACAGCTCAGGTGGCCAATGGTAATACACCGGAACCATGGTAACACACCAGAACCAAGCGCCAGGGAGCCAGTTCACACTTTCCTGCATCTCACTGCTGTCACAGACCTTTGCCATGGACACAGAGCAGCTCCGCCCCTTTCAAACACAACCCTCCTTAGCCACGCCCACCAACAGCATAACAGGGGAGGGGCGGATTAAAAAAAAAAAAACCTGGCTTGGATCATGCCGGGCCTCCTGCCAAACAGAGTGCTGGTAGGAGGAAATGGAAAAGGCGGCAGGAGAAGCCGCACGACGGGGCCCCCCCGGGCGTGGCCCTAGGTGGGCAGTGGGTCGTCGTCGCCCTTGCTGCACTTGCATTTGCAGCAGAGGACAAAGGGTGTGGCGAGGAGGAGGAAGGGTGATGCGATCAGGAGAAGCAGGCCGAAGCCAGCGAAAATGCCTATTACCTGGGAGGGGGTGGGGGGCAGAGAGAGAGGGAAAGCAGAGTGGGGGGGAAAGGAGGGAGAGAAG